CCACCCACCGCCGCCCCCGCGCCCGCGCCCGCCCACATCCCAAGCGACGTCACGGCCGCCTCACTCACCACGCGCGACCTCCCGCCCTCAGGTGAGCCCCAAGGTCCACAGCGCGGGCCGTTATTCGCTCCGCACGACTCGCGTGTCAATTGATTGATTATATTTTGTATCAGTCGTTGACAACAATAATTATTGCAATAGGTTATTTTTTGCCACCCTACTGAGAGTAAGAGGCTCTTGCTCTATATGGTGTTACATTACTATTACTATTTGGCGTTCGGGTACGTTAACTGCTGTAGTCATTAGTCCCGTTAGAATAGTGAATGTTTTTTGGGAGCCTTTGGATGATGAAATCCGGTATCAATCCACACGTGGGCTTGAGCGAGATTTCGCTCTAGGTAAAAATAGATTGATATCGATTTACGAAGTCAATTTTTGTATGACTTCATCTAGTAGATACACAAGTGACGTCTCTCACAGGGAGTTCAGGGCTGACATCCGAGAAAAGAGATGCGTCTCCCCTTTTTTGTAATATAGATCTTAATTAACGATTGGCGGATGGTGTATTTAAAGCTGGAAAAGCCTTATGGTGTTGTTGCTATGGCAACGAATATCATTGAACGTTAGTGAACTATTTACTTTAAAATATCATAGGCATGTTTTAAAGGTAATATACTCAGGAATAACTACAAATTTTCTTATCAAATGATCAGTAAGCTAGTTAAGAGGTTGGTAGTTGTGATGCTTTTATTCACTTGAACCACATACTTTTTGCAGTATTGGAAATAGTTAAAAAATATTGAAATATATAATTGTTTCCAGTATGGTAGAAATTGTAGTTTCTGCTATATTAAAACCTCAGTTATAACTTTAAAAAGTCAAATTCAACCAGTTCAAACGAAGCGCCTCTGGTGCATATCTGCGTTTATGTCGATAGCAAGGAATAATAGTATTTTCTAACGTTTACAAATGAAATAAATATGAATAATTTTAACTGCCACAGTATTTGCAGGATATTCAGCAAAGAAAGAATAATACTTCACATTATTTTGTCTTGATTTCCTGAGATCTATCTCTAAATATCATAATCAGCGATCAAACGTCTAAAATACCAGAAATGTATCTGTATGTTCTACAATAAATATATTACGGTCCTTAAATCCACTTCCTTTCGTAAGAATTTTATAAATATCATACGATCATCACACAAATTAAATAGATGGAGGGGTGACAGAGATCTATACATTGATCTATACATACTAGGATCTAAACATTGTATCCTGAGTACTTTCTTCTCCTGGTATCTCCATCAGCAAGGTTCCGTCCGAGCCAGGACAAGCTCTAAGTTCCCGACTAATCTCTCGAAATATGGTAGTATAGTGAATGTAAGTGTGGTTTCGTAAGGGGAGAGTAAGGGACGATGTTCAGAAAGGAAAGATCGAGCACGGTCCATTATCCGATTTTAAAGTACTACTCCGGCATAAGTCATTGTATTGGTATTGGTCGAAGACACCACGGAAAACTGGCAATAAGAGCAGCCAAATGTTTGAAATCTACATCAGGCTGCAGCTAAGTTTCACAATGAAGCTAGTGTAAACCAGTTCCGCCAAAACCGCACTACTTTCTCGCCCGTATTATCACGCAAAATTACACGAAAAGTACTTAAACTTTCGAAAAAGTTTAAATGACCTTATTTGAAGATCTATCTTTAAGAAACAGATTTAATTAAGAGAAAAATCTCTATCTCAATATTTTGTTTGGTACGAATATTCCAATAAAATGTTGAACTTATGCAATTTTACAAATCAGTTTTCAACAAACATGAGGCCGGCACTACTCTCTTAAACGTCTATCACACTGTCTAACAAAAAATGTAATAAAAATAATGGGTCGGTTTTTGAAAATTTGGTAAATGTCCCAAAGGCTTTATGTAAAGTATCCTCCAAAATTAAAATATCGATTTCAAATTCAAGAGGCCATGACATCTGCCGGATCGATTGGAGAATGTCAGTTTTGGAGAAATTCGGCTCAACAGAATAGACGCTAGCGTTGTTCACACAATGTCAGTAAGAGGGACAAACGGACGGTTGGGCAGATGGACGGATGAGCAGACGGACGGATGGGCAGATGGACGGATGGGCAGACGGCCAGACCGACAGACGAACAGACGGAGGATTTTTTCTAAATACAGCAACTAAATTTATTCACTTTGTCGTTACCAGGGCCCTACTCCTTAGTGAGAAAGTAAAAAACTGGCCACCGTTGGGAATCAAGTGCAAGGCAACCTTGGTTAGAGACAGGGCGGAGGGAAAAGTTGTTGCCCTGAGCTAATCCAGCCGGTAGCCTTACGAGGGCACGAGAGAGAGACGTCTCCTCCCTCTGACAGAGAGCTGAGTCTTGGTCGCCTCTTATGAACGACCGCATTTTGTCACTGTCTTCGCACACCACTTAGTTTAAACATGCAAGCGCTTAGACCTCGGATCATCACAGTCCGCTTGTCTGTCCCTGCTCTTCACCCGAACGCTGAATGAATAAGATATAACAGCCATTATTCCCACCCCAAATTCCCTCGCCTCGTCGCGAGACAAATCCACTTGTCGTGGCAGGGGAAGCTGAATAGGGACCGCGGCTAGTCTCCAAGACGTTTGGCTTCAAAACGTATGTGGTCGGACCTGCTGCGCACCGCACTGACCGCTCGGCCCCACTCCGCACGGCCGACTTCGTCCAGGCCCTTCTCCCCTCCGCTTCTCTTCCCATTCCAGCCTATTGCCTTCCCGACTCACTTCGCCTCATCCCGCTTCATCTGCCTCCATTCAAACCCATTTCCCCTTATCCCGCTTTATCTCACCCCATGTCGCTTCATCCCTTCTCATCCCACAATGTAAGCATCATCCCACCTTTCTACCCTTTATCCCATCCTCCTGCATCCATCGCTCTATCCCTCCGCCAGTTTTCAACCTATTCCAGCCCATCCTGCGCCTTGCCTCCCGAACAAACCCCGCCCACGCTCCCCGCCCCCGTGCCCCGACTCCACGCACGGCCCCCTCGCCTCGCCCTCTGCGCCGCGGCGGACGCCGCTCCCCTGGCTTGCCCGCCAGCGCCGCCGCCGCCGCCGCCACCGCGGCGGCGCCGCGGGCGATCCATACAGCGCGAGGGCGCTCGCGACGCGCCACCCGCCCGCCGTCGGCGCCGCGGAGGCGGCCGCTACCCCCCCCACCACACACACACACACAGTCACCGCCTTCGCACATTCCCCCGAAGCCAAGGCGCCGCAGTTCACCTCCGGGAACTCCCAGTCTCAAACGTCGCTTAGACAGCGTCTCAGCGAAGGAGTGGGCCCTCGGGATTGGTAAAGTCAATGGTGTAACACTACTCACATCCCCTCCAAAGCAATATGGTAAAGGGAATAATCGTCCACAAAAAAGTTTAATAATTTTATTAATTATTACCCAGAGTTAACTTTCGAGGAAACACTTTTCGCATCCTCAGTGGGTCTTGCCCAAGCAACGTGGATCTCTCATAAATGTTCCGAACATGGTCGGAAAATATGAAAACTGCATAACATGTTGGGTACAGCTAGGTGGCAGCCCTGTTTTGGAATGCCATATTATGATTTATCACAAGATATCTGTTACCACCACGGAATTCCCTCTAAAGTGTTACACGTTTCACAATATTAGCAACAGTACTTGCGATTATCAATAGATAATCTGTGCGACAACACACATATAAGGCGCAGATGCATCTCCAATCTTGTATGACCCATTATGACAGCTTCAAGAATATCTTGAGTTACAGGAACAAATCCTCAATTTTCTTGACTCCAAATATTAAAATGTTTTCACATTCCTTTCATCCATTAATTAATTTATGTAAATGAATATTAATTGACAAAATTATTTCGTTATTTTTTATAGTTATTTCGTGTAACTCTCTGCGAGGCACACAAACTCGGGAGACATGCGTCTTGTAGTTGTACCACGGATCTTAGTCTATCTATGAAGATTTTAGTAGATCCGTGGAGAGAGCAAAAATACGAAAATTAAAGGTTTTTACACCTCGAGAGCATTTTCAGGATTTGAGTATGGAAATGATCTCTCTTTGTTATAAACCATCCATAATCTTGGTCCGTAAAACGCTTGCAGTAGGTCGCTTTAACGTACCTCTGATTATGTGATTATTAAAATTTGCAAGGTTCGCTTCGCCCGTAATTGAGTCTATTGGCTCCGTGGTGAGCGCGCTCGCAGCCCATTTGCATGTGTTCGCTAATCGAATATTTGAATCCCTTTGCAAATGATGCGGCACAGTTTCCTGCTCACTCTCGAAATAACGGGGTTTTCGCTTTCAGTATGGGAATGCGCGCACTTAATAATCACCCATCATTGGTGATGCCATTTATTCTGTGACCATAGATTCAGAACATCCATAGTAGCTTCAGTGGAACTCTAAAGGATTTGCCTTCGGACGAATTTTTATGGAGTTCTTTCAATGTATATGAGAAATCGCAATGCCTCTTCTGAAGAACGCTTCCTTCTGTTTAAAATAATATGATATGCAGGTAAAACATTTCAAATTTTAAAAATGTATTGTTTTATTTTTGAAATGAACATGTACATTGTTACATTTTCTACAAAAACGTTTATAAATTATATTTGATAAAGAATTAACATAGCATAATTTCGAAAATACGAATTATCAAGAGCAATCTAAAATTGTAAATGTAACAATTTTACTAAAAATTACCGATTTTATGAATGTTTTGGGAATTTTTATGACGCTTTTATCAATTGACAATTTTATTGATCATTTGCATTTTGTGTACAGTGTGTTTCTGACAAGACTCCCAATAAATAGAAGTCAGAGGGTTATTGTTGTGTTACTCTTTACTTACTATTTGTCTTACCTTTTGCGTTACGTAAACTTGACCAGCTGGATAGTCAGGTCGCTAAGGCTGGAGGGGCCTTGGCTGACTCGGTTCGAAGGGTCGCGGGTTTGAATCTAGCCCCGGCCGTGTATGTTTGTGTGTGTTCTTATATTTATGTGTTCGACTTACAGTTACTCTAATGTTAAAAATTACAGCGGTCACTATATGACCAAGCAGTTAAAAAGCAACCTTAAATAAATATAACTTTTGTTCAGGCCAAAAGTAATTGTTAGAACACAGAATAGTTGGGATAATCAGAAAAAACTAATAGTTAAAAATAGTTGTGAATAGATTTTCATGTAATATACTCATCATATTGTGTGAAGGAGTGGACGGAAATATATAAAAAAAATAATATATTTTATTGAAAATCTCCCAATTTTTAATAAATAGAATATTCGGAAGAAATAGAATGATTGTAAATTTAGTTTTTCGCACATTCAATGTAAATTTTTAGTTATGTGAATTCCTATTTTCATTGAAATTCCATAACTGCAGATCAATTTTTTTAATAACATAATCACAGTCCCTTAGATTGAAGATGAAATATAAATGGGAGTAAAATTTGAAGAACAATTTCTACCATAATTTTTGTTCCATTTCGAGGACCACTAAATTTGTGGAAAATAAACCAAAAAAAAAAAATTTAAATGAAAAAATATGAAGAGTTGTATTAAAATGACATTTCTCTACTTAAAATATTTCGGGGGAATTTATGCGTACGTTACCAGCATCTGTAATGTATTAATTAAATGTTAGCATGCCAAAATGTGGACTCTGCTTGTAACGTGAGTAGAACTGTCTTGATGTGTGACACATCATTTTCCCATTGACACATTGTTGTCCAGTTCCAGACGCGGTGTGGGCGACTGAGGCAAACCACTCGTCCACAGTGGAGGCGGAGGATGTCGTGTCCACGCCCGAAGACCGCTCCGCCTCGCCCACCGCCCCCAGCCTCGTTCCCGCCCCCGCCCTCGCCTCCACCTCCGCCCCCGCGCCCACCACCGCTCCGCGCCCGCCGGACCTGCCCAGCGGGCTGGTGGGGCGCGTGGATGAGTACTACTCGGGCTACGAGTACCAAGACACCGGCACCAACGACTCCCTCGCAGGTAGGAGTCCGCTCCAGACGCTACTGATTCATCACCCAGATGTAGTGTAGAATACAATAATAGCTAGTACTTGAAAAGCTTTTAAAACAAGCAGTCAACTCCCGTTTTTTGCACAGATGTCAAATATGCGTGACGCCATAGTAAAGTTATTTTCAAAAACGAACTTTGATTCACTTATAAATTTATAACGCTGTTAAAAAATTACGTATGCAACTCGCTCATACACACAAAATTGCATTCATACAAATTTGAAAACTTGCTCCTAACGTCGCTCGTGTTCATAACATGTACTCATGCAATAAAACTTTACACCGTAAACTAGTTGCATATAACATTATTTTCTAAAAAAAGAACAGGAACATAAACCATGTTTTGATGTAACTTTAATATCGTCAACTAATGGGAAGCAAGTGAAGTTGCGGGGAAATGAAATCGCGCCTTCCTGTACAAAACAGTTTTTTTAAAAACAGTATTCCAGTAAAGAGACATGTGTACCGTCAGGATATTGTAACTTCATTATAATATGGGAATTCTCACCCCTCATTCCAAGAGATCGTAATGGAACGGCAATATGCTCAAAAGTGTGTAATATTTAATACTTAATCATCCTGTAGATATAGAAAGAATACTACGAAGTACTAACTTACTACTCGTATAAGAAAGGATCGCTGTGACGGCTACTACTTGGCCATTCCTGGCATTGTAACGGATTTTATACGTGTAACAATACAATGTAACGTTTACATTTAGCTCATTTGTAAACGCCGCATCACTCCCTTGCAATGTCGTCATCCTGAATGATTTTTCATTTGTTTCCCAACCTGTCAAATTGATCTCTTCTTAAAGTATTTCTTCTATACCTCCAGAGTAAAGGCGGCTCCACACATACGGTATAGGGCGAATCCCGAGCAAGCGCTCGCCGAATCTCGAGTAGTGTGGAGGAGTCGTTTGGGATTAGCCGAGCGCCAAACAGTCGGTATTCGCCCTACCCACCGCGTGTTGGTCTTTAGGACACATTACAAGGAGCGAATGATCGCCGAACACATCAGCTTTTCGGGATTGGGCGGCTCGCTGCTCGGCGAATGCCGAATGTGTGGAGCCGCCTGAACCCTATGTACTTGTGCGCTGCAGGGAGCGCGGGTCGCGAGCCAGGCGTGATCCCGGACCCGGGCCACCTGGACGAGGCGGCGGCGACGGAAGCGGACGACGGCGAGGAGGGGGAGGAGGAGGAAGAGGAAGGCGCGGAGGGTGAAGAGGAGGAGGAGGAGGAGGAGGCGGAGGAAGAGGGAGCGGTCGACGCCCGCGGCGTGCCCCTGCGCCTGCCCGACGGACAGCCGGCGGACGCCGACTCCACGAACCACGACCTCATCGACTCCGTCATGTGACATCGGACTTCGGTGGCGGCCGGCGGCGGGCGGCGGGGGCGGCGGCGGCGGCGCGGCGGGCGGCGCGGCGGCGGCGGGCGCGGCGCGGGCGGGCGCCGCGTCATGGCCACCGGCGCCGGCCTTCGCCCTCGTCGCGCAGCTTGCTCGCCCTGGGCTGCGCCGCGCGCAGACTCCTGCGCGGTAAGGACTCGCTGCCACAGCTTGGCTGTCCGCCATTCTGCGGCCTTCCTCAGGGCGAAATGGTCGCAGAATGGCGGCCGAAACGTTGCTTCCTATGTGGTTGACGCAAAGCAGCACTGTCAACGTTGCGACCGCCATACTTCGACCTTCCTCAGGGCGAAATGGTCGCAGAATAGCGGCCGAATATTGGCTCCTTAGTGATTAACGCTGGGCTCAAGTGCCAATGTATCGACCACCACTTAAGGACCTTTGTCAGGGCTATATGCGCGGAGATGGTCAGCACACGAATAAGTATAGATACAGATATATAAAACTAGATTGGAAATGGTGCTTCTCCTAGTAAAGCCAATTGAGATGGCGGCGTGCGCAACTCTGGAGTTCACTAATACAGCAATGCCAATATACTCTTATGGTACTTAAATTAAATCTTTTGATTGATCTTAATTTGTTTGCCAACAACAATTCTTTTATTCTACAAAATGAAAAGATCAATACATTATCATTAAGTACTGTAAATTACTTTTTATGAGCTACGAAATAAAGATATTCTTCGGCCTTCCTCAGGGCGAAATGCGCGGTGACGGTCAGCGCTTCAGTTAATATCTGTGAATATAGGTTCCCCTCACTCGTCAGCCAGTTGACCGGCCGGTCAGCCGCTGAGGCTGGTCGCTGAATGGTGGCTGAAATGTTGGCACCTGTGCCGTCGACGCGGCGTCTCCCGAACAGTCAAGTACATTCCGGCTATGGAAGCTTACACTCTCAGTACATACAACTGCTTCCGCATATTTGCATTGTACGTAGGCCGTTTTTTTCAATCTCCGACTAATCCCTAAAACTTCTTGACAAGTAGGAAGAGCAAGTCCATCACGTTTGGTAGGGGGTCGAAGTTACAATGAATCTGCGTATAAACTGATCAATAATGTTATACCTCTTGCAAATACTTAGGAATACAGCTAAACAGTAAATTGAGCTGGAGAAATTAAGTCAATTTCGTTGTAGGGAAAACCTGGAAATCTTTACATTTTGTTATGCGGATACTGAAAAAGAGTACAGTGAGAGCCAAAGAACTCGCATATATGTCTTTAGTGCGACCTATATTAGAATATGGCTCGGTATGTTGGGACCCATACAGAATTTTGAAACAAAGAAATCTAGAAAAGGTCCAGCGTAGAGCATCAAAATTTACTTTCAGGAGTACTGAGAATAAAGGGGTACGGGAGTCCCTCTAAAGGAGGAGATTAAAGTCACGTCTCTATGCAATATACAAAGCATACACAGGCCTCCGAGTGTAGAAAGAAATTTAAAGTCGATTAGGGAAACCTACATATTTACGCAGAGCGGCTCACATGCACAACATTCAGACAAGAATTCAGAAAACGGACCTTGGGAAATATACATTCGCGAATCGCACTATTAGGGACTGGAATGGTTTGCCTGTGACAATCTTCGATCCCTATCCTCAAAGACTGAGCAAATTTAAAAATAAATTAGTTTCTTGAATGTAGATATGTGTTATAAATATATTTAATACAATTCAGTGTAATTAACTATGTCTTCTATGTAATTAAGTATTATTATTGTTATTATTATTAATGTTATCGTAATCATTATAATTATTATTATTATTATTATTATTATTATTATTATTATTATTATTATTATTATTATTATTATTATGTGCAGTGCGGTGAAGTGAAGTGTGGTGAAGTGGAGTTCTATGAAAGATTGCACGGTGAAATATTCACGTGAATTTGTAAAGTTTGTAGATTTTGTAAAGTTTTTAAGCTCTGTAATGTTAAGTTAGTGTATTCTGCCACCAAGTTCTCACACTTATGCGCAGAATTATTACTAAATCTAAAAGATTTAAAAATGTTTCGTGGGCGATCGCGCTCATCATAACCTATGCTACGACTCGCGCCATATCGCCGATTTGAGCTGAGCTGTAGGATCGTGAAGATGGCTGGTGCGGTTGAGGTGGTCGCCAAGCGCGAGATGCGCAGAAGTGCGAGAAGCTTTATTCAAGAATAAGGGAATAGCGCACCAGAAAATCTTCAAATAGTGAGACGATAATTCAGCTTTGAAAAAAAAAGAAAAGAAAAAAGAGGAATGCTGGATTCTGGCTGTGTCCTCATTTATGACGACTGCCGCCATAGCGCTGCTTTAACCGATCAACGTCTGAGCCAGATAGGTCGTGCTTGATTGCCCGGATCCGACTTAGCGGAGAGTGATTTTCTCGTCTTCCTCGAATTGAGAAATGGCTAGGACACTAAAGCTTCCAGACCAATAAGGAGCTTTAAGGTGAAGTTGAGACCATCTCAATCATGGTGGCAACGTTCGTCCAAGATGCGGCGATGCCATCGGATAAGACATGCCTAAATCTTCACAGTAATTGTGTAGGAAAATAGTTATGAGTGTATATAACTATTCGTAATAAATTCCTTTCTTTTCGTTCTCTTGCCATTTCAATAATATCGGAGGTTGAAAAAGAACGGTCCCCGTAAATTGTGTTGTTCGTTGAGGGTTCCGTATTGCATGTGTTGGGGTAAGTGATAAATGTCGTGGGATGAGTGCAGAGTTCTGCATATTGTGGATGGATTGTGTATTGTAAAATGTATTTTTGATATTGTAGGATATAACTTATTCGTCATACCATATGTATTTCGTTAGTTTGTATTTTTTGAAAATTCCTCGACTTTGCAATGTAAAGGGAAAAAGTGTTGTATTTGGCCCGAAACTAGGAGAAGGATATGGTATGAAAATCCGTTTTGAGTGTCTTAGACAAAAAAAGAATTGTTTCGAATGATGGATGTCGGTAGGTATCGATGTGTAGATGGATGAATTAATGCGGTAGATAAATGGATGCAGTGCACCTAAACATACGCTAAAATGTCGATTTCTACCAAAAAATGCAGAAGTTTAACTATTTTTTAGCATGTCTTGCAATTTCATTATTACGTTTCTTTACAAAGCCTTACATTTCTTTTCTATGACATATATTCTGATAATCTGATTGCTGAGGTGTTCAAAAGTGGGACTAGAGCACGTCGGAAGTGTTGGTAGTGGTTGAGCAGTGGAGGCGTGTGGTAAGCATGGCTAACGAATACGTGAGGTGAGCCATGAGTAGATGAGCAGCTCTCCCATCGGCAGTGCGGGTGTGTGTGGTGCAAATGGTTACCAAACGTGCGGTGAGCGTTTGCTCCTTGAGTACATGAGCAGCTCTCCCTTGAGCAGTATGAGCACGCGTGGTGAGCGTGGCTACCGAACGTGTGAACGGATGAAGTGCTCTCCCATGAGCAGTGGTGAGCATGCGTGCTGAACGCGTGCGGCGCGCGTGTGCTGCGTGAGGAGCGTCTCGAGCGCGTCGCGCGTGGCGTGGGCGCAGGTGGCGACTCGAGCGCGGCGGCGCTGCTGCACGCGGAGCTGGCGCTGGGCGGCGCGAGCGGCGCGTGGCTGCTGGGCGGCGCCGTTCCAGGCGGCGCGTGCCGCGCCGCCCGCCGCCGTCGCCCGGCGCGGGGCGCGGGCGCGGGCCGCTGCCTCGCCTTCGCTCTTTCCTGCACTTGGCTAGCCACCTGCCGCCCGACGTCATGCTCTCGCGCTGCTGACTGCTGGTGATGCGCTCCTCGCTGCTGGTGGTCTAACACGCGCCACCTCATCCCAGACGCGCGCGTCGCCATCCCGACCGCCGTCCCGCCGCCCGCTGGGCCCTGCGCGTCCCCGCCTTGGGGGCTGGCCCCGCGCCGCTTCGTCGCCGTGAGTCCCACCCCCCCCCACCACGCCCCCCTGGCGCACGCACACTCACCCGTAGTGGTCTTCCTACCACCCCCGCGTGCGTGTCTCCCATACACCGACGTTCCCGTTCAGCGAATTCCTCGATACTCTCTCCTGCTCTCCTTTTTAATCACCCGCGTCTTCTCTGTCATTCTTTCTTTCACCCTCGTTTTCTCCCTCGCCCTTTATGTTTACTTCTTCATCCGCAACCATTTACCACCCTCGTCTTCTCCCACACCCTTTCCACCACTTTCGTTTTTTCCCTCCCTCCCTTCCCTTTATTATCTGTTTTGTCGTAATACTATGCAATCAACGAACAGTGAAGATAAAGTACTAATGTGCATGCATGAGAACTGAAAACGGTAGTTAAGATGATTTCGAACTGAAATTGCCCCACCTCGTGGCCCCCTCCGTGACGCGTGCTGAGAGAGCGCACCGTTGCAGGCGTGCTACGGCGCCGACCCGCACTGCTACGAGACGCGCCGCTTCTGCTGGGTGTCGGTGGAGCGCGGCATGCTGCTGTCCTTCCTGCTGCCCGTCGGCGCCCTCATCGTGGTGAGTCCCCAACCGCGCTCACCTCCCTCAACCGGGAGATTGCGTTCCATTTCCACACTAGATCGCATTACCTAACGTCAACCGCTACAATAACTCAATGGCAACCACTGGCACTTTCGAAATTATCATTGGTAATACAACGAGAGCTTAGGAAATTGTCGATAAATCCCCGATTTGCAATGCGCGGAATGGAGTATCTGAGAATTTCTAAAGCACGAATGGTATTTAATAGGACTATTCCACAAGTGAAATTATGTCCAATAGAGTTCCAAATATTAAAAAAAACTGAAAGCACGTTGAGTACAAAGAGGTTACGTTATGCACTAGTACAACCGCGATTTATGCACATTAACACATCGATCAATACGTACCGCCTCCTAAGATAGATAAGTCGCAGTCCAGTAGGGAGGAATAATAAGAAAAATCGGTTACAAAGCCAATAATGTTTTAGAGAAACACCGCTCTGATGGGGGATTTTGTATGTATAGTTAAACACTTCTGGTTTTAATTTCACGAGTGGAATAGTATCTTCAAATGGTAATTCAACAATGTGTCGTTTTCTAGTTTTGCGTATCATGTTCTTAAGACAATTGTTTATTATGCTTCCAAATACTGCGTTAATGTTAAACGGAGTCTGAAAAACATTGAATTCTGTTTGAGCTGAATATGAATATTCGTAGATTGATTTTCCGAGCACGTCAACTGCTATGGCCATTAATGCCGTTAGTATAGTAAATGTTTTATCACGGAAGATGGTGGTGTTCCCCTCCCCCGCTGGATGGCACGACCTGTTATCGGCTGGTGTGGGTTCCCCAACCAGGAATCTCCCATTAGACGGGCACCGCCCCAGTTGGGACAAGCACTATGCACTCAACTGGTCTACCTTCATGTTTGTTATTGTGGTGCATGTGTGTTATGTAAATAGGGGAGAGGATTGAACAAGGAAGAGGAAGGATAGGATGCGCACAGTCTGTATTCCGTTTGTTAGGGTATTTCCTCGACATTCCCTGGATATTGATTGCAGAAACCATTGATAATAGTAACCGACCGCTACAATTCTCCTCTATACAGCGACTGAATTCGTCCTAGTTATTTACCTGGTGTCGAAATCCGATGCCGCCGGGGCTCGAACCTCGGATATCCCGGTCAGAGCCTGCAGAGGCAGTGGTAATGTTCTCTCGCATCTAAACGCAGCCGGTGAGATGTCAATAGTTTATCTCCCTGAAAAACTGTGTTTCATGGAAATACGTCACATTACATCGAAGAAATGTTCTGCGCAGTATCGTCAGCCATGTAACGTAGTTTCTATGTTTTAAATGTATTTAATAATTCAAATCGTTTAAAACAGATTATCCCAACTGGAAATAAAACTCTTGTGCACTACGCTCCGAAGTAAACGTAACGCCTAGCTCTAGCAATATGTTCACCATAGATGTTGTTCAAAGTTTTTATTTATTGGCAAACACGTTTTTAAAATGCCTTAATGTAACATCTTACGTTTTCAAAGATATACGTATTGAGATTCGATTTGATTTTAAGTCATATAATATTTTTAAAATGTATTTATTTAGAGTGTTTGTAATAAAAAATAACTATTTTTATTTTTTTGTGGTTAGTACTATCCTATTTGTTTGGTTCATAAAGATTATTTTATGCTGCGAAAAAACGAAATTAAAAATTATACTCATATACCCCTATTTTCTAATTTACTTTATGCATATATTTTTTTTCGGATAAAAACGTACGTTCACATATTCAATAAAATATTAAAATATGATTAAATGGTAAGGATAATTGGATGACATATTTCCCTTGCTAGAAACTTTTGTTTTGAAACACATTGAATATGATTATTAACTCAATACTCTTCAAATCCAGGCAAAATAAATCAGAAAGAATTTTCTTGAAGCTAGGGGAACGGATTTTTAGAAGCTGAAATATTGTTATCTCGATCTCTTTCAAAGAGCGTTTGTAGTTGAAAGGTTGCTTTCATAACAGTAGCTCTCTGGATAAATGTGTATGCCGCCGAGTAAACGTATATGATTAAAAGAAAAAGATGCTGCGCTTCATCTACCATAATACAGAGGGATATTTCTGATTTTCTCTTTTTAGTAAGCATGCAAATTGGGAGCTTTTAACTCATTCACTTTTCTTTCCCGATATCGAATTTTGCTGACTCATATTCTGACTCTTTTTTTAAGTTGTCAATAGAGCTTAGGAAATGAAGCCATGAATAAATTTGACTTTTTAAGTGGCAATTCGTCGAGAATTGTGAATTAATAGCTTCTCAAAGGGTCAAATTAAATCTGTTTCATAAAAAATGTAAATTCAATTCCAAGCAATTTTGGCTCAGTCATCTGTTTAACTTCCTTTCCGGTATTCAGCGTATCATGTTCTCGTAAGAAACAAAGACAATATGAAAATTGAAAATATAATGTTGTAACAATTGTGATAATACATTGCGTAACCTGAGATCGATAAATATATTCGCTTAAATAAACCAAAAGCCAATGCTAGTGAAATTGGACGAAACGTTCAATACATAATTCGTCATATTTATTCCAGGAACTGTTTTTAAAGTTGCATACACACTTGCGGGTAAGCACTAATGTAGCATACTTCCACATATCCTGCAAAATCTTCCATATGTTGATGGGCTTTCTGGCAACTGACCGCTTGTCTAAAGTATGACGTTCGGTGCGGAATAGAGTATGTCTTGGTTCCAGTTCACTTGATAATTACTTTGATATACCACCATTTACATTACAATTGCTAACGCTAATGGGAGCGATAGTGTTCACGTTAGATACCCCCATCTTTTCTTCCTGAGCATGCTTGTAGGAAGAACTGTGATCCCGAAAAAATAGTACCAACACAATGTGGATTGTTCCTTTCGCAGTTCATGACTACTTTCTAAGCAGATATTCGTGATTTGCAAAGTCTTGTGGAAGATAAACTTTAAGTGAACAATACGCATCGGGTCGAGGTGTAAGGTTGGGTAAGGGTATCCTCATTTGAATCTCACGCTCAAATGGCACGGGCTGATTTTCTTCACTGGCTAAATACTAAGAGGAATTGATGCGTTATCTGGAGGAGAATTCTAGCGGCCGCCTGCTACAATGATGATTCGTTTTCTGTGGTTTCTGCAATCATTAAAGGGAAGAAAGGCGGAGCAGTTTCCTAACAAACAGGTTATGCAACCCGCCTGTTTTTTTCTTTTTCCTTCCATGTCCCTTCTCCCTTTTAAGGCGGCTCCACACATGCAGCATTCGGTGAATCCCGACAGTGTAGACGGGATTTGCCGAGCGCCGAACGTTCGGTATTCTCCCTAACCACCGCGTTAGGGCGAATGTCGAATGTGTGGAGCCGCCATTATATTATTATTACTACTACTACTACTACTACTACTACTACTACTACTACTACTACTACTACTACTACTATTATTATTATTATTATTATTATTATTATTATTATTATTATTATTATTATTATTATTATTATTTGATTGTTTTGTACATAGTTCCGTTTTTAATAACTTTACATATGTATTGATGACTTTTTAAATAAAACTTATTCTAACGTAACACTACTACAGAGGTTGAGGAAACCATAATGGCACCTCATAGGATCTATTGCAGATCTGAGAACAATTTACAAAATATGTGAAATGGATTTTTATGTGAGTGAGATGGATGGGGTTTTTGAAAAGTTTGAATGAAGATAAGTTTTGGATACGGTGTATATTAGAGAAGAAATTGTGGGATAGGTAGGTGATGTGGGGCATGATGGGATCGAGGTAGAATTCATTGTGTAATTGATTAGTTATGAACCGGGATGCATTAGTGATTGTACGGAGGAATTGGTTCTATACTATTTGAATTTTTTTGATATTTGTTTCTGCAGCATTGATCCATTCTGGGCAGGAGTAGAGAAGAGTATGTCTGATTATTGTTTTGAATAAAGTTTTTGCAGTTTTGTGTGGTAGGTAATTATTTCTATTTATTAGAGTTATTAATTGATGCAGTTTGTTATTAGTTTGTATTATTTTTATATCTATGTGCTGTTGCTAGATCATTTTGATGTCCATGTGTAGTCCAAGATATTTTATGGGTTTATTTGGTGGGTACCATGGGATAGGCTCCGTATTTAATGTTAGTGGGGTTGGTGAAGTGTATGGTCTTAAAGAGAATATTTTTGCTGTAGTTTTGTTTGGGTTTAATTTTATTTTTAATTTGGATGACCAACTGCCTTTTTGTTTAGATACAATTGTATGCGGTTTTTAATATTGATTAGAGAGTGCCAGAAGTGTGTCATTTGCAAACTGTGCTGTTTTTACTATTTCATCTATGGGAATGTCTGCTACATAGAGATTAAACAGTGTGTGTAATAGGGGGGGGGGGATCCTTGTTATAATCCTGCTTTGATTAACCTGGCATTTGAGTGATAGTTGTTGATAGTTACTGCAAAGGTTCTGTTGGATAAGTAGTTTTGGTTTACTGAGGTGATGTAGTGTGGGGTGCATATTTTCTTTAATTACTATATTAGTGCCTGGTGTAAGACTCTAACAAATGCCTGTGTTATGTCGAGTAATATGAGTATTGGGTTTTTTTTCTTTTTTTTCTTTTTTCTTTTTTTTTTTTTTGAAATGCTATGTTGAGACGTTCCGTGATTCTGAGGAGTTGATGTTGTGTGAATATATGATCAGTGAATCCAAACTGCTCTCTTGGAATTGCTTTTGTTATTTATAGGTGCTTTTTAAGTCGTTGGGGTATTATTTTGTCGAAAATATTAGAGATGGTAGAAGGCTTATCCGGCGATAACTGTCGCTATTGGCTGAATTTTAATTGGGTTTCGGAACCGGAAGGATAATGGCATGCTTCCAAGTGAATGGAAAATGATTCTTTCTGAATCATGAATTGTATATATTTGTTAAGTATGCAATTGCGGGGGATGGTAAGTGTTTTAGTACTGAATTATTGATATTATCATGACCTGGAGCTTTTTTGAATCGGGAGAGAGTTAATGATTTGTATTATTTCTGTAGGATTCGTGTAATGAATTTTGTGATGTGGGCCGTAGTTTGGGAGGTTTATTGACTGTATTATTGTGTTGTGTTCCGGGTGCGGTTTAGATTGATTGAGTGTGAAAGTCGACTCAAGGTAATTGGCAGTTTCCTCTGCCTTGTCGGTAGGGGTGAATAACTTGCCTTTCGGTGAGTCGATGGCTGGAATTATTGTTTTCTTTTTTAGTATTTGTTTGGTAAATTTCCATGTAGAGTTGTTTTGTGCTGTTAATGATTCTATCTTCTTCTGGAATTTGAGATTTATTTGATTTTTTATTGATTTCTTAACTATATTAGTTAATATATTTAGTTCTGCTTCTATTTGTGGATTTGGTTTGGTTCCACAGTCTTCTGGTGCTGTTTCCTGCAGATAGAGCAGAATGATTAATTTTGTTATGTGTTTGTTATTTGTGGGCTGCGTTTCTGTTATTGGTGTATGTACTATGGTGTTTAGTAATATTACGGCGTTGTATATTTCTATAGAATTATTTAAAATTTTAATTTTTGGTGTTAAGTTGCTGGCTATATTTTGGAAATTAATCCAGTTTAATTTTTGTTTATTTTGAGGATTGGGAATCGCGGGGGTGAGGTTTTTCGAGTAAGTTTATTTACCGGAAGATGGTCAGAGTCGACTTCCTGATACGGAGTTGAGTAAAAATTGATATTGGCGTCAGTCAGTCCGATGTCAAGGATGTCTGGTTGCTTAGTTACTTCTCTTGGATAGTATGTTGGTTCAGGAGGGGATAGTATATTGATAGTGATATTGTTTATAATTTGTGGTTGTGTTATTCCTACTTGGTTGCAAGTGCGACATCCCCAGTTTGTGTGTTTAGCATTTAGATCACCTTGTGTTAATGTTTTATTTGTTTGATGTGAGTCAATTAAGAATATTTTGGGTTGGTTTTTTTATTGGTGTAGGTTTACAGACAGTTATTATATTCCATGATTCATTGTTCATTGTTAGGGTTATTTCCACTGTTTCAATTCCTGTGATGTTCGGTATATTAATTTCATGATGGATTATATTATTCCTGACTGCTATAAGTACACCACCTCTTTTATGTTCGGTCCTGTCATTTCTATACATTTTGTAATCTGGAATGTAAAATTTATTACTATTCTTTAGGCGCGTCTCTGTTATGCTCGCAATGTCTATGTTATATATGTGTACATATTGAGTAAGTTTTATTTTTTTGGATGTGATCCCATTTGCATTCCTATTTGTTAATGATATATTTCTATGGGCTGGTCTTGACATTATTGTTATTAGAAAATACTGTTACTGTATTCTGAATTGTACTGATTAATGATGGTATGAGGGAGTTTATGAAGTTAATAATACAGAGCGATATATAATTAATTCTTGTATTTAAAAGGGGATTATTATTATCTTATTTGTTTTCTTGAGTACGATTTCTCTGAGATCTCATATTTTAACAAATTCTGATTGGTTTTTCAGGGTTAATGTTCCTAATGATTTTCGGATTGACTGGGTAGGGGGTAGTGATGGAAATTTTTCTTGTTGGATGATGGTGGTATTCTTTGGTATAGATTTCTTGGGTTATTGGGTGGGGTGATTTTCTTGTCAACTATTTCCTTATAGTAGAAACAGTTCTCATTTCTTACATCTGCACCGTGATTGCCTTTGCAAAGGATAGTGGTGGGGTTTGCTTTCCTTTCAGGACAAGTTACAGTAAAGTGATTACCAGAACATATTACACAGTTAATTTTGTGATTGCAATTGTTTCTAGAGTGTCCACAGCCCAAACATCTATAGCATTATAGTGGATCTTTTGGTCTTTTTCTTTTTTCGGTGATGAATTTGATTAATGTTGAGTATTGTTTCCAGTGGTTCATTGCCGTTGAACGCGGCTGCTATTACGGGAATGGAATGGCTGTCCTTCTGAAGACGGGTGATTTCAACAATGGATGGGTTTCTTTGTTTTCAATTTTGCATAATTTCACTGTCAGTTATGGAGAGGTGGAAATTTTTTAACACTACCGAAAAGTTTTTGTTTGCAGGGTCTTTCTGGGAGTGGAATCTCCTTTTTTTGTTGGTTAAGTATTTTATGATTTTACAGAAATCTTCAACTGAACCGGGATTTATTTACCCTTTGTGGTTTTTTGTTCGGCTACGAAGTTTTTTGATACGTTAATTTTAATTTCATTAACGAATGAGTTGATGTTAGTTGTCTTGGCCATAAAAATTGGGGGTATTTTACTGGTTGTGGTAGACTGTGAAGATTGATCACACTTTAGATAGTTAAAGCGGTTATCTGGGGGAAGAGAATTGGTTTTCTTGGAGGTTAATTCCGAAAATCAGAGGAACATTTAATGAAGTTCCAAGTCTATATTCTAATTTCTGTAGTTGAAGTTTTGGGCTACGGAGTATACGGGAACATCGTAACCGTCTGTGGGTGGTGCACTGGCTTAATTTGGTGTAAAACCTTTAACATAGTCACTGTCACTTGCACTTGCACTATGTCTTTTGTTATCACTATTAGAAGCGTCCTCGCCTACTGACATTTTTCTTTGATTGATGCTGGCTTCTACTTCATGCCGGCTTCCTAAGGTTACGAGCGTTGTTGGGTCTTGTGATGGGTCTTGATAACATGAAGTTTCTGATGAAGAAGATTCCATGGCTGAATCCTCGTTCGTAGCACTTTCACTGTATGTGGTAGGTAAATTGATGAAGTTGCTTGGCGGAATATCGCTGGAGTAGTGTAGGACGTAAAGAGCATTGCTGACTTCGTTGCCTGTTGATTGATTCACATCGAATGCCATTGGGGAAAGTTATTCGATGCACTGGATTAACACTATATTTCAGTTATTCCACTTATTACAAGAATTACAATTACAATTACTTGAAATATAAACTGGTTGGTTGGTATCGAGCGGGACCGTACCGACGCTAGCGTCCCGACTTTTATGAGCGCTCTGCGATGTGAACGGCTTTGTGGACGGGACTCACTCAGACCTCGCACTTCATTATCATACATATCTGGATCGGGAGGGGGAATACCGACGTGCAGTCGGCGTCGCATCATCCAGTGGGGGAACAAACCACAGCCTCCCGCGATTTTTTGATGGATTTGTGATTCCGGGCGCGTGAATTGCTAAAGTCATTATTCCCGTAAGAGTGGTGCACGATCGTGCTTGGTGGTGGCTGTGATCTTTCGCCGTCGGATGGTGAGATTCGGCAACAACCTACCGTTGGCTAGCGGGCTCTTCCCCAACCAGGTATCTCCCACCAGCGGGGCACCGCCCCAGCCGGGGAAAGGTCTGACCGATCTCCCGTCATGTGTGGTAGTGTAGTGCGTGTACGTATAAGCGTGTGTAAGTAAGAGGTAGGATAGGACAAGGAATGGAAAGGAAAGACGCGCACGGTCCGTGGCCTGTTTGTTAGGGCCCCGTTTTCGCTTGGTGTTGATCGGAGAAACAACGGAAAACTACCGATCTGAGCAGCTGGTAATTATAATTCTTCTCCAGGCAACGACCTACCTACCTATCTACTGTCAAAAATCCTACGTCGGACCTAAAAACCTAGCACCTCCCGCTCAGAGTCACTGCAGTTACATCAGTGAAGCCTTGAGCGACTTCTTCCGGTAGGTCCCTCGGTAAAACATGCAGGCATGCGGGTGTGAAGGCCATAGCAGTTGATGCGTCCGGGAACACGAAGCAATCAATCCATGAGCGCTCGCACTCCCGCAGTGGAGCGGTGGCGTCAAGTGCGCGCGCGCGCCTTTGCGCATGTGCGCGTGCGTAGGCCAACACGTGGGCGAGCGTGTGCTCGCTGCGGCAGCTGTCGCCCCCGTCGTCGCCGGCCAAGGGCGGCGCGGGGGCGTACGGGGCCGGCGGCGGGGAGGCGGGCGGGATGCCGCTGCCGCTGCTGCTGGCGGCGTCCGCCTTGCGGCCGCGCCTCCGCCGCCCCGGCCCGGGCCCGGCGCCGCCGCCGCCGGCCCCGCCGCCCCCGGCCCGAGGAGCGCGCGCCCGCCCCGCACGCGGCGCCGGCCGCCCGACCCTGCTGCCGCTCCTTCGCGTGCACTGGTTTCCTGGCCGTGCTTCGCCCTGGAAACGCCGGCCTCGCTCGCGCTGCCCGCCGCCGACCCATGCTAACATCTTACTTGTGAGTGCGCCTCCATCGCTTCGCTATTCCCCTCCTCCCTCTCCTATTCGCTGGCTTGCCACTCAGGCATCATTTGATTATTTCATTAACACATTCCATTCGCCGACGCTGGGATGGCCAACCGTATGTACCAGACTCAGCGCTTCGGTCCCGAAGGATCGTGGGTTCGAGTGCGCCTTGGGTTTTGTTTGTTTGACCCTTGTCTTTCATGTAGGGTGTTGGCGCGGAGGGCCTCGCTTCTGTCTGGACTCTCAAACAGGATTCAGAGGAGCCTGCAAATGTGTGGTTAATTGTCATGTGATTCGAAATTGCTGTGCCATGAGAACGTAAAGTTCTTGCATGGGAAAGTCTAAGAAGAACACATACATTTCCATATTATTTCCGTAACTTCTACGTAACTTGACTATATTTCCTGATGTGTACGCCTCACTCGCTTCATATTCCCTTCTTAAGTCACTTTTTTAAACTCATTCATTCATTATAAACTAGCACTTTCACTGTCCGTACGTTCATATTACCAAAACGTAAACTCGATGGTTTTAGTCACTTGTGAACATGTGTACGTGTGAACGTGCTGTACCTGTGAACCACATGTGTTCACAGACGTTTCGAAGTTTTATGGCATAGCTTTGCAAGGAACGTACCGTAAACTACACGAATTTTTGCTTTGGATAACTGGCTAGGTACGCTCTAATAATTTAAAAATACAACGCAAGATGCAGCAGAAAATATTTTTCTGAGAATATTACAATAAATATGTTGTAAAGTCCGTTTGGACGTGGCAATAGAATATTAATGTTTTCATAGCAGACAGGGAATGTGCAGGGAGGGGATTTTATGACCAAACAATTATAAGAAATACTGCAATTAAAAAATATGCATTTTAGACCTAAAATTTTCTTTCAAATTGCACTTTAACACGCATTATCAATTGACAATATTTCATTTCCCTGTATATTTTTTGGGAAATGATAATGAATGGTGATAAAATTAGAAGAAGCATCTTGCACTAAAATTGATAAATTTTTGTACAAACCAACAATCTACCTTATTTGCGGAAGAAATAATTGAAGTAAACATATACCTTAGTGAAAGTACTGTGTGTCTTGTCACATTTTATCTGCTTGGTTTAAAAAATATGATATCAATAACATCCTACATTTTGCACAAATATTTATCATTTGGTAGAAAAATAAAAAAGCAAACTGTGACACGGCTCATTTCGACACCGAATGCTCAAAATAAATAGTAGTTTCAATAAAAAGAGTCAAGACTAAATTTAGCGATAAGTTTCTATTTAAAGAAATAATGCGAATATAGACCCATAATTACGGCGAATAATGCACCAGCAGATAAAATCTATGTAATGTACAACAAATGGCACTAACATGTCAGTCCACATCGCATCAAAAATATTAACAAAACGTCAATGATTTCACTTAGTTATGCTATGAAGAAAGACAAATCATAGAAATCTGCTCTCTAATTATCACAATTAACGTAATATTTCTTTTCAATCATTTTAGATATTCTTTACTCTATCACTCATTACAATTCCGTTTTTTATATACGATTTAATTTTCCGATAATTCATTATTATTTATTCGTCGTTTGTTTTATCCATTTATATTTTTCATTCATAGTTTCAAATGACAGCAAGTTTTTATTTAATCTTACTTTTCGCATTCAGTTATTTTTTAATCAGCGCGTCCAGTTTGTCCCGTAGTTATTTTCCGTGTAACTTTCAGCTCATCGTGTTATAGTTTAATTCTTTCCCAGTTCATTCCTTAATCTTGATTGAATCATTGGATGCGCAATACAATGTGTTAGCTTACCCACTACGTTTAAGTCATCAAAAATGTAATTTAATTGTAGTAGAGAATAGCACACACTAAAATTTAATTTTCGTGTCAAAAAGGTTCGAGAAAAAGGGTAAAATTCGGGATCCAGAAAATGCCCAACATCTACATTTCAGCATGGTTTTTGGAGTTACAATTTTAAAGCAATTTTACACACACGCTAACCGAAACAAAATGAAAGCAATACTAATGTATAAAAACACTTGTGCTAATGATAAATTTCCGGTACAATTCTTAATAATGAATATTTTGAATGTTCCCTCAAAAAAAATTAAAAATATCTTCAAAAAAAATTATAAAATTTTGATTTTATAAAAAATTTTATTCTTTGTTTTTTCAAACTTATTTTAACAAAATCTCTATAATTATTTGATATAAAATGACTGAGTTGTAAAGTTGTTTTATTATCAAGCTAAAAAGCTACAGTTCCTGAATTAGTAATATTTTTCTCTGAAATTACAGTTCCATGCTTAATCGACATTTATAACGACATCTCGTAAATGCCTTAAATGAATGCTCTAAAGTCTACATTATTCACAAAAAGTGAAAAAAGTGAAACTATATCAAACATATTTCAAATATATCGAGGTTATTTGTACTCTTAAAAAATGAGCCTCATTCTTTTATTTTAATTCTCTCCGCTTTCTCTGGAGCCCACTAAATCTCTTACAGCGCTGGCTGAATTTGAGGGTTTCATGCGTTTTCCGTGCTTTTTGTGTTTTTTGGCTGCGGGAGCATGTGGCGTGGGCAGATGAAGGCACATTGTGTGATAGCGAAACAAATGAGACGCGTTTCTGTGGACGAAAGTAATGACTTGCATTACCAGTAATTATGTTGCAAAGAATGTTATCCATATTTTTGAGGAGAAATATGTGTGCATTTACATGGAAGAGATTTGTATGCATGAAAGGATAAAAGGGTTAAAGGGAACGAACCTCGTTGAAAAATGCAATGTTCAGCGATGGCAGTAGCAATTTTTACACTCTAAATATAATTATCAACAACAATACATATCTTATAAATATATTAAAATCGGTTATATCAATTACAAACTAATTTTAAGAAACATTTAAAGATTTGAAAATTAAATGCGTTTTTTAAGGGAATTAAACTTCAAAACTCCGTACCGGATATCTTTGTTGCGAATTGTTTTGAAATTCCAAGTACTGTTCAATTAATTGTGTAATTAGTTTTGAAGTTCCGTTTCACGGGATAATTTGTCGTTCAAAGCAATAACCTTCTTGGAATATTTTAAAAATAATCTTTAAGGCTATAAGGATGCTTGTTCGAATTTTAAGCGATACACACGTAACATAAACAACATATTTTGTTTCATTTTCATTCACGTAATGTAAGTTTTAGATAAAATAAAAGTACTTAATAATTAATTTTTAGATAAAAAATAATTTTCTTCATATACTAAACTATCTTAACCTCGCGATTAACTAACCAAAATGGATGAAGTAGAGTAGTTACAACAGATTCATAATATGGAAAATTGAAAACCACACAAACATTGTTTTCTGACTATCAATTCTATCCGGATTATAGGGTTATGGTCGAACAGTTCCCAGCAGAACTTCTGTTGCAGGTAGTTTGTTAATTGAAACCGTGAATTGGCTGACGGTAATACTCCTATGCCTCCAGAACCTCGCTCTCACTTATTTTTTACTTTTCTTACACCTAAAGAAATAACTGTGGCTCAGACTGATCACAAGTACGCAGTATCGCCCGATCACAGTATCACCGTTACACAGTGTTGCGAGAAGGCTGTCAAACACTACCAGGCACATATGCCAGGTATATATTCCAACAACAAGACTTTCACACACAAAGTCAATACAATGTATTGATCCCAATTCCGGTGGTTGATTATGTGGGAAAACAAGTGCAACTGTTGTCGTTGTTGATAGGAAACCTATGTGAAAACTATCAGGAGGAAAACAATTTTTTGATGTTTAATATGTAACAATTGGCTAAAGGTTTACGCATTCAGGCGTTTCTATATAATAGTATTAAATATGTATTATCCGCAATATTTTAAAGCACCTCACAAAGAGCTCCAATGTGGCTCTAGACATACGAGATATTTCGACTCATAAATAAATTGCAAATGTCAGCATAGCTAGTTAGTTAATGACTAATTTTATGTGTGAGGCTTGACATGAGGCGCCGCTCTTCTGTCTGATCACGCAAAATTTCGCTAATAACTCCTTTCACCATCTAACAGCGAAAAAGGTACTACTCGGCAGGCCGAAGCAATATGCTATTTTAAGTTATTTTAGAGGCTTTCTTTTCGCTTGAGTATCTTTTACACGTAGTAAATCTTTTACATGGGACATGCCGGCTTTACCCTTCCCTCAAGTTTTTCTTATTTTCTTTTTTTAAATCCACAATTTCTCTCACTCTGTTCTTTGAAAATTTACTTATCAACTAAAGAATAAGCAATTCTAAATAATTCATTCCAAACTGTAAAAATTGCCAATTCCGAGTCCCCACAAAGTAGGTAGTCGATCATCACGACGATGTGCCTTATCTGCTACAATAAATTTTTTCCTTGAAATGTGTTGTATTTTGTTGACGATCTTGGGAATCCACTTTCTGGATGCGCCTCGTTTCAGCACACAACTGTTATAATAAGTGAAGTTTGTAAAGTGACATCCAAATACAACCATGACTCTAAACTAAGAGAGTAAATAAGTACCAAACTTATTAATCCTTGTGAAGAATGATTTATTGACCTCAAACCGAGCCAATATACCCCATTCATCTCCTGCATGCACTCATTCATGAGGACAACGCAATTTACACTAATAGAGCACCAACATAGCGATACTTCATGAAAATAAGGGCTACTCGACTTCATGAGTTAGGTAGCTCTGGTACTGAATCACGCCGTATGTCTTCAGATGTTTCGTGTTAACGTGTAGCTGCTCCAGGAGCGGGTGTATTTAATAAAGCTGTTCCTTGCGATTGTGCTGCTTTGTTGAGGGCCCTAGGGAATGGCTGTTGGCGGCTGGCTGCGCCTCGCGCCACAGTCACTGTCCCTTTTCCGAGGTGCGTGGTCGTGTCGAGCGCGCCGTGCAGTGTCGGGGGCCGTGTGTCGCAAGAAACTGGTTCCTGCTGTGGAGCGCGGGCGCTGTGTGGGCGCATCCGACAGGCGGCCGCGTGGGAGGAACGAGGAAGAGTGCGAGGACGAGGGCGGCGTGGGGCTCGGGCTGGGGATGGGGCTTGGGGGCGGGGCCGGGCCAGCACGGGGGACAGGTGGTGGCGCTGCCTAATGGCGCCGCCGCCGCCGCCGGCGCACTCGACCGCCCCCGGCCCAGCGCCGCCCCCGCCGACGCGCAGCCGCTGCTGGCGGCACGTGCAGCCCCTGGCCGCCGCGCCCCGCGCCTGGCCGCCCGCCGCCCGCTCGCCCCGCCGCCCCGCCCGCCCCGCCCGGCGGGCGAACTGGCTCGAGCTGCGCCTCAGACGCGCTGTCCGCTGTTGTCGGCCCTTCGGCTCGGTGGAAGGTAGGAAAATAGAATACATTTTATTTATTTTACTACGCGCGTTGTTAAAATTCTGTCATTTGAAGGCCTGCAAACCGTTGCATTAATGATTCTTATTACGATACATCATTTCACTATGATAACAGGCTTCTTGACCAATGAGAGACGTTTACAACCAAGTTATTGACATTTAAATCATTGAGAATCATTCTAGTAAATTCTAGTAAATGTTTTGTTCGAGTGTGAACATAAAAAATTGCATATAATATTGAATATGGCCTGCAATTTTATTCTTTTTTAGAATTAATTCAATTTTAAAGTGCAATATTATTTAAAAATAAATTGGAACGTAATTTGACTTTAATCCTATTTGAATAGCGCAGTAAACCAAAGCCATCTGCGGGAGGGTAGGGTAAGGACCTGTCCGCAAGAATGGCCTTAGCTGATTCATGTACGTCAACTGCAACGAAACGATTCAATGTAAAAGTTTAAACTTATAAAAGTTACCGCAATAATCGTAGAATAAGTTACCGGTATGAAACAGTATGTAAGGGGTATTAATACACTTCCTCGATCGTATCGTAATATCACACTGTGTGTATTTCGCCATCATTATCATTGTTTCCTAATGTGATATAGCATTCTTCTCGTCTCTTTGTGATACTTACGTCGACTCTAGCTCGCTCATAGTGTACTGAAACTGAGGTCTAAATTCGAATTGAATTAATGCTTATTTTACGTAGCGAGATCACAGGCCATGAAAGACCTGCTCTTCGTCTGACCATGCTACACTTCTTTCACCAACTAGCAAGAGAAAAGGAGGTATTTCTTGTGCGAGAAACGGATTTGAATTTAGCTCAGAGTCGTCATTGAGGCTTGAAGGATCTTTTTACATGCAAGTAATCTTAACATGTACCAGCCGGCTTAACTTCCCCCTCCGAACGTAAGGCGGTACGAAGGATTCTTTCACCCTTACAAACCAGCGCTTTCGATCAAGGTTTGAAGCGGATTCACTGTGAACCGGAGTCGACTGAATTTACATACAACAATTTCAATTTCTTCATAAAATGTATTATATATTTTTTTTCACATCTGTATTTTTCTATTTGGTAAATTTTAATTTTTTTTCTAAATCCTTAATGTTATTAATATTTAAAATATACAATAAACTTACTAACTTTTTAAATAATTTATCAAAATAATGTTGTTTTGTTTGCTTGGACGACCTCTTAGTAAAATAAATGGCTACATTGTGTATTTGCCTTGTTTCCTCTCGGTTGTCTGTTAACTTCTTTGCGTAACTCGTTGACTAAATACCTGTTTTCTTCACTGTGCAGGTGGGGGCGTGGCGGCCGTGGACGCTGGTCGCCCTGTCCGCCCGCCGCCCGCGCCTTCGCCCACCGCCCTCGCCCGCACCCCACCGCCACACGCCCCCGCCCCGCCCACGCTCACTCCAGGTAAACAGCTTTTAATTGACCCCCGCTCCACCGACCCTGCCTTTGTTTATTTTGTTCCATCGTCAGCCATTTTTTTCTCCGAAGACCACGCCCTTCTAGATCCGCATTCCAAAGCATGTCTGCATGCTTGCGATCTATTCGCATGGTCGTCGCATAATGTAATGGTTTCTATTATTGTTTTCAAACGATGGACGATTCCTTTTTCATTATTAAATAAATTTATCATCTGCATTTAGTTATTAATGAGTTATCATTATAAAAGTACAAATAATTCTCCCTTTGTAGTTTTATCTCTGCAGCCCCTGTTTTCCTATAAACATTAACGTCCACGGATGGGAAACTTAGAAGTCCGCTATCTGATGTTGATAGCAAATTTTCACCATTGGACACGTTTAAAAGTGATCAAATAAATACCTGTAACCTAAAGCAATAGTAAGTCTGACGTCTTAATCTCTGTTTTTGAATACTCTCAGCCTAATCGCATTATTCTGAGAGCACTCTAATTGTCCAGCAGTAAGGTTCAGTTATCCATTTGCTGGCATTCAATGCTTAGTATCAACTTGGAACACACATAATATGTTATTAGACAGTTCTTCTATAATTATTCTCCACCACTGTTTTTGTAAATTCCCGAATGATCAAATACTTAGACATGTTAAGCTATATTTCCTGAAGTAGTGACTGTACTTTATGAAATAATCGTGTCAAAATGGTAGATCAATTTATTTATTTTATAACAATGATTTATTGTCATGTCATGTTTTTCTTCGTTTAGAGCACAAAACAGCAATCATTTCAAAATTTAACTGGATCACGTTAGTAGACATTTAAGTTTGATTTATTAATTAATACATTCCGAAAAATATCTACGTACACAACCGAAAGTAATATACATAAAATTAATTAAAAATTTTCAGTATTTTCGCAGGACACATATGAAAGGTTGGGAAAATGATATCAGTAGATGGCATTATCGATATATAAATGTCTCATATGAAATGACAGTATCCCTCCTTCTTTTTCCGCCGTTTACTGTTTTAATAGAATTGTATAATTTTTTCTTGAGTAAGTGTTCAAAATCCATTTTAAGACATTCAGTTTTTTTTGGTTTTTGTATTTGAGACAGGAAACATACCGTGGTTTAAACACGAAAATTGTAACTATGTATGTAATTTGTAAATTGTTTTTAAAACATGTTATTTACTGTCACAAATAACAAAAAAAAACTGAATGTCTTGAAAATTGGATTTGAAAATCTTTTGTCAAGA